TCCAGTGGGCTGTGTACTTCTACCTTCTCCCCATTGTTCCATTGACCTCATCTGTTACTTGAAATTTATAGTTCAGGTGCACTGTGACCTGAATCATGAAAACTCAATGGAACTGCTTGTTCAATTACTGTTTTACCAATGGCTGATTTATGAGATGAAATAGGATCTTTAACTTGTTGAATTGTTATGCCAATATATAATAAGCCATTGAGGCTTTTATTGAAATTTACAACATACGGTATGAATCATTGAAGTATATATTGTAGATTTCAAATTTTAATTGGGTTTCCTCTATAATAGGTAATATGAAGTGACTGCACATGCCCAAATTTATTTATATATTGGTTCCAGTTTGTCAAAAGACATACCAGTAGATCCACACTTCATGAGTTTAAAGTGGCAGCCAGTGAACTCGGCGACGGTGAGCACACCAATGGATCGAGGGACAGGTGAGTGGTTGTTTTTTAAAAGTCAGTAGCTACAAAAACTGTATTTTTTATTTTTTTCACCGGAGACTGGAGCTCCGCTTTAATGTGTCTAACCACAACTATTTGAAGCGGGAAAGGTAAAAGCTATCACTTTTTTTTGTCTGTATCCTGTTCAGGAGATTTATCTTTACCTCCTGTTCTGGAGACATACTTTGTAATATGTTGTATGTTATAGATGCACTTGAATTTTTTTTTTTACAAAATATAAATTGCTCAGTACACAAATCTTTTTTTCTTAAATGGTGCAGCGCTAATTTGCAATGTACTGGCCCTTTAAATAATATATATCATACAAAACAGCCACCAAAAATAAAATTAAAGTTTCTCTGTGAACATCAAACCAACCAGTCTTATTATACTTTTACTGCATTAATTTATAATGTAATGGCCCTTTAAGAATGTATACCATATGAAAAAAACAATAAGGTAAACAATAAACGTCCATCCAAATAAAAATTAAAAGTCTCTCTTTAGACTTCACCAAACTAGTCCTATGCCCATTGATCCAGGACTCCTTCACATCATCATAACTGCAAGTATCATGTGTGCACCATCACCAGTTGTGCTCTCACTTGATTTAAAAAAGTACTTTATCCCTTAGGCTGCTTTCACATTGATCTATTCTTCTTCTGTTTTTGTGTCCAAAAAAAGCAGAAAAAAAGGTGTGACCATGTATTCCTATGAAACTCTTCACATTAATCAGTTGCGGGTCTGGTCTGTTTTCCAAAGACCTGCTTGCTGTATTTTTGGTGCAGTAAAAAATCCAGACCAAAAACTTTCATCCCCATTGAAATCAATGGAAATTGTGGCAAAAACGCATCAAAAATGCAACTGTGTTGTGTTTTTTGGTGCGGTTTTTGAGTCACATGTTCTTTTAAAAAAGCGTACAGCAAATGCGGTAAAAACAGATCAGTGTGAAAGTACCCTTAAACACTTTATTCACACATTCCCTTAAAAACAACAATCACATTGCTAAGGTGCTCACAAGCACTGAGTTAAAAAATGCCTGTATAGCAAAATATCAATCACAGTTTTTGTCAGCAGTTTTACAAGGCTCAAATATCATCATCCAGTAGCCCCGCATTTACGTGTTTCGTCATAGGGTCATGTGACTTCTTCAGACTTCTGGCTTATACTAGTACTCAGTAATACATTAACACAGAATACTAAATTAGGTGCATTTTAAAGCACTGCAATGCTCAGATGGCTCACATTCATCTATGTGTGCGTTATGGGAGGTCAATCAGCCACAGCTCAAGGAATCCCTAGCAACCTCTGGATTATAGTGTATATATTCATGGAAGTTCCTGTTATGCTGACTCACTGGGTCTCATTTACTAAAGGCAAAGGCTGTGCACTTTGTAAATGCAGCTGCTCCAGAGCTTAGTAAATGAGAAGAAGCTCTGCTGGCTTCCATCATCCACTCATGTACAAATAATATAATGCTGTTTTTTTTTTTTAAATGTTTGCATGTGATGGGGTATTCTTTACAAAGTGAAGCTTCCCCTCATTTACTAAGCTCTGGAGGAACTGCACTTGCAAAGTGCACAGTCTTTTTGCCTGTAGTAAATCAACCTGATGGCATCGCAATTATTCACATCACAAGAAAAAGTCAAAATAATTGTATTTGGCAAAAAATGATTGTCTTTTGTGAGATCACCTGTTTTTAGCAAACAGCAAGGACACTGTATTATATGGAAAGCTTCCAATAATGAAGCACCTCGGTGCTTTTGCCTCGGGCGTTTGTAAGGAGAATGTGACAGGACTGACAAACTCTGGAGGGACAGAGTGGAGGGAATTGCTGTGGGATGAGATGGAAATTTATTTTTGAAAAAGATCTGCTTTCACAGATTTTTGTGGCACTCCAAGCAAATAGCTTAACACACAGATGTAATACATGTACCTACTGTATGGTAAAACCATTGGCACAATGAAGGCCTATTAACAGTATTAGTATGTGTTATGCCATGTTACTGTGTTGTGCTGCACTGCAATGCGCGTCCGATAGCAAGGTGTGTTAGGAAGCAATTCCGAATAACTAGTAGCAATCTGTTGTACATCTGCATGTAACGTGTTGCCGCAATACAGTTCACCCTAAATGAGGGTAAATCTCTCTAACAGAGCTCTGGATAGCAATAAAAAGGAGTACTAACCACTCTCCACAAGGGTTATAACACTTTCATACCCTATCAAAAACATTGGACATTCACTTACAGTGAAGGAAATAAGTATTTGATCCCTTGCTGATTTTGAATGTTTGCCCACTCACAAAGAAATGATCAGTCTAAAAATCGAATGGTAGGTGTATTGTAACACTGAGAGACAGAATAGCAACAACAAATTCAAAAGAAATGCATGTCTAACAAATTATACACTGATTTGCATGTTCATGAGGGAAATAAGTATTTGATCCCCTTCACAAAACATGACTTAGTACTTGGTGGCAAATCCCTTGTTGGCAATCACAGAGGTAAGACGTTTCCTGTAGTTGGCCACCAGGTTTGCACACATCTCAGGGGGGATTTTGGCCCACTCCTCTTGGCAGATCCTCTACAAGTCATTAAGGTTTGGTGGCAACTCGAACTTCCAGCTCCCTCCACAGATTTTTAATCGGATTAAGGTCTGGAGACTGGCTAGGCCACTCCAGGACCTTAATGTGCTTCTTCTTGAGCCACTCCTTTGTTGCCTTGGCCGTGTGTTTTGGGTCATTGTCATGCTGGAACATCCATCCACGACCCATTTTTAATGCCCTGGCTGAGTGAAGTTGCACGATTTCAAAATAGGGTGACCTGCCGATTTCAGTTGCGATTTGCAAGACATCTGACACAGATGTCTATGCAAATCGCAACAAAAGTGGCACATGCACTACTTTAGAAATCGGTGCGGCTCTGACCAAGTTGGAACCATACCAATATGATCGTTCTAATAGCAGACAATATGGCACGACTTGGCATATGATTTCCAAGTCTCAGGGCATGCAAAGCGCGTGCCAAGTCGCACCCGATATGACTGGGGGCTTATAGCAGTTAAAATCATTGTTTCATGAACAGGTTTAGAGTGAAACTTTAGCCTTTTTTTTTTTTTTTCATTTTGGACAGGGTGTTGAAGTGATTGAACTCCTGTCAGAATTTTACTGGAGTTTTGTGTCTCCTCTTCAGAAATCATAAGAACATCTCCACCGCACACCAACCCCGAGAGCACCCAGGTGCAGGGTGCTGTAGCAAGGGTGGACTGCACCACAGTAGCCAGATAGAAAATGTCCCCTTTTCTGCTGAAGGGACCTCGGGTGGTTCCAAAACATTGCAATTTCATTGTATGGCATTCTAAACGAGTGTCAATGAAGGCAGTTGTCACGCTTCTGGCAATACATTTTCAACTCTCTCGGGAAATTTCACCTCAATGTTCTCAAAGACATTTACATGGTCACTGGGACAGGAAGTTATGCCTAATTTCCTCCAATAAAGACTCTCAGGGTTTTATTGTGAACTTTCACAGGTTTAAAAGCTCAAATCTAAGATCACTCTATTCTCCCTCAGTGAACACTAATCGCAGTAACAAAGAATTATGTCGCAAATTAAAATGCTTCTTTAAGAAGCCTCTGATTGAAAATGCCATCATACTAGTAGCCACATCACACATAGTGAACATGAAAAGGTTCTTTTTTGAGGTTGAGCACACAGCTTCAGAATTGGTAATAGGTGCTTTCTTTAGAGTCTAATGAGGCTTTGTTTTGAGTTCCTTTTAACGGTACAGATTGTGATTATTTCTTGGTCGAGAAGGATGACTGGTACTGAATGCAATTTGGAGAACATACACCATGCTCTACAACAACTAGACTATTGCAGCTTTTCTCAATCTATTTACCATGGACGAACTAATAACTTTTTGGGACTTTTTCATGGAACCCCTGCTAAGGATAAGTATATCTACAGCTCACAGTACATTAGTAGTGATGATCATTGTGAAAAATACTCGTTACATTTCTGGTCATTGGGAAGAATCCCCCTAGCTAAAAAGATCATTGGTGTCAGTGGTTACTCATTTGAGGAGAGGAAATTGTTTATTGCTCAAGGAACGTATAGCAACCTCTGCAGGTTGCCTGATGAAAGAGCGCACCGGCTGACGCTGGTCCTATGTATGATCAGAAATGCGTCACACTCCGATGATGTCAGACACCCAAAGTAACTAACTCCGGACATATAGGAGACCCAGCCAGGCTTCACCATCCATGCTTTACTTGATGCAGCACCTCCTGCTGGCGGACCAAGGTCTACTCCTCTCAGTCATCTACATCTGGCTACAGACGTTTTACACCTCTTCCCTATGAACCTGTTTTTATTATCCAAGATGTAAGTTGCTATACTTACCTTCTTATTAAATATCGTCACACAGTTTACACTTAGAGACGCTGTGTTCTTTTGTTTCTTTCAGAGAAACCTGGTTAACCTCTTTCCGTCTGGCCCATGTACATAAACGGCCGGATGGGAGCAGTGCTGATGCGGGTTGCCACTTATATACGTCCCCGCATTCACTGCCTGTGTACGCTCCCTGGGAGTGCACGACACCGCGATCCAATCGCTGTACGGGACCTCTGTGTGAGGTCCCGATTCATGTGATCCCTGATTGGCCAATGCTTTTGCCCAGAGAAACACTTTAACTACTTCCCGTCCGGCCCATGTAAATAAATGGCCGGACACTGATTGGGCTATCAGTGATCACATGAATAGTAGTAAACAAGATGTCACTTCCTGACACCATTGCTTACTACTTGTGAAATCTGTGAATGATCACAGAGGTCACATGGTACAAGGCTATTCACAACAGCCTTGTACCATGTGACAAGCTGTGACCAATCACATCTCTCACAGTATTTCTCAATGGCTGCAAGACTGCAGCCAGAGAGAAGGAGAAATGATTGCTTTTACAGCCTTTATTGGTGTAAAAGCAATCAGTGTAAAAAAAAGAAAACAAAATCTTCATCACCCCCCACAAGTAGTACAGTGTCACTAAGGTGACACTACTGCTAGGGTGACGGTATGTTAAAAAAAAGCATAAATAATAATATAAAAAAATAAAATAAAAGTTTATAAAAAATATTTTGAAAAATTATAATTTTTGGTTATAAACTAATTTGGGATACTTTTTTTTTACTAAAAAGATAACTGAATACATTTTGGCCAAGATTTATGAAGAAAGATTATTTATTTGCAAAATTTTATAAGAAAAAGTTTGTTTTTTTTAAAAAAATTAGCACTTTTTCATTTATATAGCAAAAAAATAAAAATCCCAGTGGTGAATAAAGGGCTTGTTCACACTTGACTTTTTTTCTAACTCTTGCCAAACGCCCCTATAGCGTTTGACAGGTGTTAGACAGGCATTTGGGAAGCATTTTTCATGCTCCTCAAATGCTCCCCAAACGCCCTATGCGCGGTTTTTATGCGTTAAAACCGCACCACAAACGCCTGTAATGAAGTTAAATGGTATTAACAATCCGCAACCACGTCGCAACCGCTCCACAAACACCTGCCAGGCATTTGAGGAGCGGCACCAAAGACTTCAATGGAAAGCTTCAACTCCTCCTGACTCCACATGAGGAGTCAGTTTTGCCACAACGCTACCGCTTCAGTGTGAAAAGCACTGTGTGCTGCCATGTGCAGAATTTTCATAGGTGTTTGAGAAGCATTAAAAACGCTTCCCAAACGCCTGTCTTGATGCCTGCTGACAAAGCTAGTGTGAACGTAGCCAAATACCACCAAAATAAAGTTTTATCTGTCTCAAAAAAATGCTAAAAAATTCATATAGGTGCAGTGTTGCATGACCGCTCAGTTGTCATTCAAAGTGTGATAGCGCTGAAAGCTGAAGATTGGCCTGGGCAGGAAGGGGGTGAAAATGTCTGGACTTTAAGTGGTTAAGGAACCCTTCTCTATTGTATGGGTGAAAGGGATTTCCCACTTCTATTTAAACTGGAAAACACCATCTGCAACAGTTCAATTCATTTTTATTTTATCTGTGCAAACAGCTTCAAACCGCAAGTAGTTTTCTTGTGACTAAGCTGGACACACGTCTAAAACAGACGTACTTTAGTGATCTGGTACAGTTAATATTTAGTCATTGTGTACACTAACACTTAGCTTCCTGGTTGCACATTCCTGCAGACACAAGTTTGCCTGTAATTATTTTCCATTGTGCGTTGTCTGACTGTTTTCCCGTGTTCTGAAAACATTTTCTCTACTGTAATTTCTCTTGCTTCCTCTTTCATTTTCTGTAACAGAAAATGTACAGAAAATTGACTTTTTCCAAGGAAAGTAGGGCTTAGATTATCTGAAAAATTCTGTAAACTAGATTTTAAATTAGTACTTTGAGCTGCCAGTCTACTAATTATAGTAAGATATTTATTGAAAGTTCTATCAACAACACATATCGTGTTTCAGCTTTGCCTGTTCACAGTCCATCAAGTAAATGAGCAAGCAGGAAGACACTAGTTAAAAAGAAATAGTAATAGAGACATGTGTGTTATGGATTTTTTATTAAAACTTAACTACTTGACCTCCGGAAAGGTGTTACTCCCTTCATGACCAGGGCATTTTTGGCTGTTCAGTACTGTGCTACTTTAACTGGCAATTGTGCAGTCATGCAACACTATACCCAAATTAAATTTTTAGCATTTTTTCACACAAATAGAGTTTTCTTTTGGTGGCATTTGATCACCACTGGGTTTTTATGTTTTAATTTATGAACAAAAAAAGAAAAACATATATCTTTTTTTCTACCTTCTGTTAAAAAATATATCCAATAAAAAAAAAAAAATCTCTAATTTCTTCATGAAGTTAGGTCAAAATATATTCTGCTACATGTCTTGTAAAATAAAAATCCCAATACGTGTATATTAATTGGTCTGGACAAGATCTCCCCCCCCCCCCCCATGCGATTGGGTTACTGCGCTTATTTTCTTTATCTTGAATTTTTTTTCTTTCTCCTTCTTTCCATCTCCCCCCCCCCTTTTTTTTTTTTGTTTTATGGCTCTTGACTCCCCTCCCTCCATTTTTTTTTGTTTTGCATGGATTAATGTGTACGGGTCAAAGTGTTTACACTGTTACATCAGTTCTTGAGCATGTTTTGTATTGCTGTGTGACTCCCTTGTACACTGTTCCTATTTTGTTATTGCTTGTACAGCTTAATAAAACTCTTATGGAACAAAAAAAAAATGAATTGGTTTGCGTGAAAGTTATAGCATCTACAAACTATGGTATATATACTAGAATTTATGCAGCTATGACGCTACGCCGGTAGTGGCTGTGATTAGCGATTTATAGTGGGACTGTGATAGCGTGGCAGGCAAACTGGCATTATTAACAGACCCTTGCTGGGAGGTATACTAACTGACACTGACATCACTAGTGACACTAATACAGTGATCAGATATAATACTCTACATTGTCATTGTACTTAAGACACTGGCTGGGAGGGAGTTAACATCAAGGGGAAATCAAGGGTTACCTGTGTGCCTAACAAGTGTAATGTGTGTAGAATGTGCTGACTTTATTAACAGATCTGGCTGAAACAGCCAGATCACTTATCTGTGGACAGGGCCCTGTGTGTATGTAAACACAGGACTCTGTACTGTAAATGGCTACAGCTGATCAGCAGGTCTCATCAATAAATCATAGGCCGGGACCTGCTGACAAAATCCCGTTGTAGCAGGCGACAGCACGGATCAGCAGGGGGCACGAGCATGCGCGCCCTTAACCCGGAACAGGCTGGACTGTGTACAGATGGTACTTACATGGAATAGGATGTGCCCCTTGTGCAGCTGGCTACTCTTTATTGAAATCTGAAGTCCTCTGCTCCCCCCCCCCCATTAACTCCCATCTGTAATTGTTTGGTACTACAGGGAATATGAGTTGCTGGACCTGTCACAAGCACTCGTCAAATATGCAATCTATGCTTGTCCTTTCTGCCCCCCCCCCATACATAAAAGTGTAGGATAATATAAATATATATATATATATATATATATATATATGGTGTATATACATACTATTGACCAAGAGGATAGCCAAGGACTCCTTACTATGTTAATTTATGTACGAGGCAATTACCTTACCTTTGTTATGTTGGGTTAACCAGTTTGTGGATAAATATGTGGAGAGTCAGGGGGGAGTTTCAGAGCAGGTTATTTGCAAATCTGACAGCATTGTAAAATGCAAGTTTGTCTGATTAGATTTGGAAAGCTCTTAAATATTCATAGTGTACTTGTTTAGGTTGAAGAGAATTGGGTGGGAGTCTTGTCCACCTTTGTACAAGGATGTTAAAGATTGCAGTTTTGCCATAAACAAGACAAGGAGTATCTATTTAACTTTTGAATTAAAATCTATGCATACAGCTGTTCTAGGTCTAGACCAGCAATGGGCAAACTACGGCCCGCGGGCCGTATACGGCCCGGCGGACCTTTTAATCCGGCCCGCGGAGCTAGGCTCCTCTCACAGTCCGCCCTGAAGACCGGTGTAGCATGAAAATCTGTCTCCTATGAGGATCTGTCCCCCTCGACGTATCTGCGCATGTGCCGGAGATCGCCGATCGGCTGCTAATGCCTGAAACTGGCACATGCGCAGATACGTCGAGGGGGACAGATCCTCATAGGAGACAGATTTTCATGCTACACCGGAACGGCGCGGGTACACGGCGAGAGGAACGCGCGGAGCAAAGGTAAGTGAATTGACACAGGGGGGACTTAATATGGGGGATGAATTAATATGGGGAATGAATTACTATAGGGGGGATAAATTACTATGGGGGATGAATTACTATGGGGGATGAATTACTATAGGGGGGATGAATTACTATATGGGGGATGAATTACTATGGGGGATGAATTACTATGCGGGATGAATTACTATATGGGGGATGAATTACTATGGGGGATGAATTACTATATGGGGGATGAATTACTATGGGGGATGAATTACTATATGGGGGATGAATTACTATGGGGGATGAATTACTATATGGGGATGAATTACTATGGGGAATGAATTACTATGGGGGATGAATTACTATATGGGGGATGAATTACTATGGGGGATGAATTACTATTTGGGGGATGAATTACTATATGGGGGATGAATTACTATGGGGGATGAATTACTATGGGGGATGAATTACTATATGGGGGATGAATTACTATGGGGGATGAATTACTTTATGGGGGATGAATTACTATATGGGGGATGAATTACTATGGGGGATGAATTACTATATGGGGGATGAATTACCATATGGGGGATTAATTACTATGTGGGATTAATTACTATGGGGGTTGAATTACTATGGGGGATGAATTACTATATGGGGGATGAATTACTATATGGGGGATTAATTACTATGCTTACTATGGGGGAATATTACTATACTTACTATGGATGACACATACACATCATTCATCTACTCTTGGTCCGGCCCCCGGGTCCAATATATGAACCCATTGTGGCCCTCAAGTCAAAAAGTTTGCCCACCCTGGTCTAGACACTATTTGAAATACTTAAGATCAAACATGCTGATAAAACCAACCAATCAGATTGCTCGACACTTTGTTCAATGAGAAAAGGGGTATATTAGGGAAGGTTTTTTGGTTGAGTTGTGCCAGGAGAAAGTGTGACAGGAGGAACTGCCAATCCCAGCTATCTTATTCTTGAGTGTGGGAATGGAATTGATGGTGAAACTGGCTTATGAGATCATCATAATGACTACTAAAGTAAGGGTAGCAGAGAGTATTTTTGGGTTGTTTGCCAGTTTTACATGAAGATTCTTTACTATAAAGCAAGGTAATAATATGACGCAGTGTGATCCTTTTTATCCTGTCTTGTC